CTCCCTCAAAAACGCACAAAAACCGACCTTGAACATGCTTACGCACTCACAAAAAAAAAAACACTTCGCTTTTCTGACCCAGACTGTTGGAGGAAAAAAAGAAAAAAAAAGTCTCCAGTCTTCACTTTAACATCTGCACAGTATTTATGTTGAGAATTCTTTCCTTGCTTTAGGATGTCTTCAGTTTTTAAATATTCTATCTTTGCGTTAACCTACTTGCTTTGATTGCCTGTCACTTTGCTGAATTTCCCCTCTGTGGAACAATTCTGATCTATTCTAATTTCTTATTTAGAACAACGAGACTGTTATGATAAAATATTTAAAACATTTTGTAAAAATGCTAATGCTCGTGAATGTATCTCTTACGGTCTTACTCTGTCAATTTCTCCTCTTCCAGCACCAACCACACCTCGACTTAGAAACACTTTTCAGGTCAGTAGAGTGGTTATCTATGGGTCGTTTCAGGCCATGGTGACCCAAAAGGCACTCTGACCTCTGAGTGTGAGAGGACAGATTTCATTCTGTTCTTAAAGGTCCATTTTTGTCAAGAAAAATATATGTGCTGTTTTGCCTTTACCTGATTTTTACAAGGGAAAAGAAAAAGAAGGGAATTTATATATATATATATATATATATATATATATATATATATATCTTGGTGAAAATGCATGTGTAAGGAAAAGGAGAGAAGCTTAATTTCTGTTGACCAAAAATTGCGCAATTGGACATTTTGATAATAAGTTTGATTAATGGAAAACACAGCAATTTTGAAGAGTGTCGTTTTTCGATAAAACTTTTTTGCAAAGGCGAAGTGGGGGGGTTTTTCCGCGTGGATCATAATTGGCTTATTTCACGTCACAAGAACAACAATCGGATGTTGCAGATGATTCAAACCACGAAGACGGAGACGCGGTAAGACGCTGGGAGAAGTCTTTACGCGTGAACAAACTCATCAAAGTGTGATTCTCTGACTTGACGTAAACACCACCAAATTGTATTCTTTCAACGTAAGGGAAATACTCACAAATGCTTTGCGCACATTTGTAACTTAAGCGCAGCTAAAGAGCAAGAGAGAAAGAGAAAGAATCCATGTTATATTACTTTAAGTGGTTAGACTTTATGGCTTTTTGTCTCCTCCATTTACTCAATGACTGCAACATGTCAAGGTGAATAACATTTCATGTTTGCTCTATAACTTTATGTAATTATTGTAGTCTGGAGAATGTAGTTTTGCAGTGAATTGTCGTCTTTTGTCTCATTACCTGTGAAATCAAGGCGTTTTGATAATCATTACTGAGCGTTCACATAAACTTAAAGAGTGATAAAAATATTCTAGTTAAAGAGACTCGTACATCCTGATGCATCAGTCAGATATAATTTTTTCCATTCACAGCGATGTGATAAAAAGTAGGGAAAACGGTGGATACAAGGCGAACGTTGACGCTGAAATGCTTTCCGATGAAGGCAGAGGCGAACCTCTCCACTAACTAATTTGCATGTTGCGCCTCTGCACCCGTCAGTTCAGCGAACGCATCACCCCCTCCCCACAGTCTCATCAGCAGCATGTGTACTCCACACCTTCCTGTCACCCAGCCTGTTCCTGCTGCGAAGGTAACCTTCCAGCTTTCCAGCCCGGCTGCCTCTAACCGAGCGTGGGCTCCGGGTCTGACTCCGCTCTGCTGAGTAAATAAAAAAATTAAAAATAAATCATTATTTCATGGCAAGGATTTGTTTTTTTTATGTCCGCTAATGGCAAAGTAATAACTCTCATCTTGCTGTCGTCCCCGTCATGCCGTAATTGAATCTGTGGAGAATAGCATGCTGCTGTCGCAGCGGGAGGAAGACAGGAGCTGTGATGTGGCTTTATTTGGAGAGGCGACGCGTCGCGGCGGGCCGTCAGAGCCACGCGGCCGACAATGATGAGGCACCACAATGCGGGGTGAAATTTGCTTTCGGAGATTTGAGCTGCGCTGCAGTCACGTCGATGGTGGAATTTGTGTGTTTGGTGGAAACTTTGCTACAAACTCGATTTCTATAGATCCGAACGGAGCATCTGAGATGTCAGATGGTTTTAATTATTATTTTTTCTACGTTTCTTATTTTCATGCAGTAAACTGTATGAGCGTTTGTGTCCTGCATCTGTCTGATGGGACAGTGGTTGGAAATCCGGTGCATTTACGACAACATTGAACATCTATTAATAAGCACTGGGGCTGAACCGATTATAGTTTTCTGGCCGATCTGTAAAAAGTCTGACCTGCCGATTCTGATTTTTGCCGATATCAATATTTTTTGTGCTAAACAAAGCGAGAAAGTCGCCCAGTTTATTGTTAACTGCGAAATGTACAGACATGAGTTGGTGGGCGGGGCCAACGGTCAAAGACGACAGTGGCTGATTCTTTGACCTTAGCCGAAGTAGATAATATTTGCTAAACATCTACAGTCTTCCTCATATTCAGTCTTTGGGGAAAACAGCCAATCAGCGTCCAGGAAAACGAAAGCCGCTCGAGGATTGGTCGATCGCAAAAGCTAGCCAATAGTGTCGAGTAGCATTGCGCTAGGTGTTTCAGCTTCCCAAGCAGCATTTTTTTTTAATATGTCAGAAGTGTTCCATGAAAAAAAATTCTACAATAACCAAACGTTCAAAAAATTATTTTGATAATTTATGTTCCTCAAAAAACATCAAGTATATGGATACTGAACTGAAAATTTTAACTAGAAACAGATGAAATTTTTGGTCAAACACATTGGATTGCTCACATTTTGAAAACAAATGCACAATCCAACTGATCTGTCAACTTCAGGCGTCATTTAAAGCAGCTTTCTTTCAGCCTTCGTCTCCCAACGGAAACAGAAAAATACGCCAATAATTGTTGTTTTCTTAGGAATCGGGCCTCGTTAAAATATTTATCTGTGCAAAGAGAGCGGGAGAGAATCAAATGGATGTAAATAAGCTGGTGGAGAGCAGACTGCAAACGGTAGTGATGACTTAATTAACATGCTAATTGATGCATGACATTGTCTTCCAGCTCCAGCTCGTTGTTCTGGAAGACTGTGTTGTAAAAAAAAAAAAAAAAAAAAAAAATGGAAAAGGATGAAAAAGTGTGAAATGGTTCATATTGGGTCTGTGAATTTAACTCAAAACAAAAGTAATCTTTTATGAGATATGGCTGATGTTTAGGAAATACAGTGGAGTGGAAAAATTAGGATCCCTTATTAAACATTCAGTTCCTTAATGTTCAAATATTTTTCCTACATATTATGATGTTTCTAAGTTATTTAAGTGCCCAAAGGTCTGTATTATCATTATTATTATTGTTTTCATATAATAATATGAAACATCATAATTAAATTTGTGGTCAGAGACATTGGATTGCTCACATTTTGAAAACAAATGCACAATCCAACTGATCTGTCAACTTCAGGCGTCATTTAAAGCGTCATTGGAGAGCTCAAACCGACACGTTCCCACATACAGAAAACAAAATTAAAAACTTTAATTTTGTTTTCTTTCTGGTTGAGATTTGATTTCACTTAAACGACAAAAAGTTATATTTTTTCAAAGAAAATATTGTATATTAAAAGGCATTGTGTAGCCGAGGAAAAGGCCGTTTTTCTTGTTTAGTGCTTTGTTTTTGGCCACTTTAAGCTTTTGGTTGTTGGGTGCAGTGTGGCTCTCTTTATCCCCTATGCCACCATATAAAAGAGATAAAAGGGAGATTTAATCTCCCTCATTTACACAACAATGAAATTGTTCCCACATCTTCATTTTGTGGCTTAAAAATGCTTCATCTGGAAACTGGAAGAGGACGGAAGTTATCCAGAGAAAAATTTTAACAACTACGACGATAATACACGAGCGCACGAGGTGTGATTTAATTTTAATCGTCGGTGTGACTTATTTATGCTTCAGATGTAAATTTTTAATTAAACATAATTCAAAAGCCTCAGAAGTTCCTTTTGTCTGTTAGAGTCAGACATAAAGGTTCATTTCAACACTTTTATCTGCCGAACAAACTAGAAGCAAAGGTTCTGTTTGCTACAGAACATCATTTGTTCAAGAGGAAAAACCAATTAGGCTTCATTTTTCTCACTAATTATTACTTAATCAACGTCCTGCAACATTTTTGATGAATATATTTGTTTAAGAAAAAAAAAATTAATCAACAAGCTTAACGCTGTTGTTCAAAAGAAGAATGTTATTGTCTGAAGAGAACTCGCTCTGGCGCTGAAGACCCTCTGCAGAATAAAACTTGATTTGTCAGATTCATAATACATAAATTGGAGGCAGATTTTAAAGTTGCAGCCAAATGAGGGACGTGAATGTATAAACATATGATCTCTGCAGGTTTCACACATGGACACAGCCAGTAGTCATGTTTTCCACAGAGATTCAATGGGGACGGTGATCTCGCCTCTGAGCATCAGAGGCCGCCATTATAAATCCAGCCATTCATTTTAACATGATACGATACAGACCCAGAATCCATCTGGGGAGAAACGCCTGCTGCTGCTCTGCTGTGCTTCACTTCATGTGACAAATAACTGGGAGCTCCAGCTTGTGAGTTTTTATTTATTTATTATGTCACAATATTCAAATGCTGCTGTTTGCATCTCTTACTTTCACAATTTAGATGAAACCAACTTAGTACCAAATGCAAATTTTAAAACTAGTTTTAAAATGTAAAAATAAGTAGCTAGTGAAGAGCAATCACAGTGCATCCGATTCCCATGAATTTTACTCCAGCTGCAGCTGATCCAGAACGCTGCTGCTGGCGTTCTCACTAAAACCAGGAAGATAGAGACATAACACCAGTTTTAATGAACTTCTGTATGTGGGAACGTGTCGGTTTGAGCTGTCCAATATACGTCTTCATATATTTGAAGTAAGGATGATTGGAGAAACGGAGTTACAGTTGATGTAACTGTCAGATTCATAATATATAATAAGAATCTGACATAATACAGTTGATGTAACTCCGTGTGAAGGTTTAGCCTACCTTATGATGAAATCGCAGGCATCAATGAGGCCACCATAGTGGGACCGCTTCAGGTTCCCGGAGTTCCCCACCACGGCGCAGCGCCGGCAGCGCTCGGGGCTGGCGTCCACGTAGAGGACATCGTTGGGGATGACTTGGAACAGCTCCTCCACCACCTCGGAGAAGTTGGCTGGCTGCCTCTCTGACTGCAACCACTGGTGATGACAAAACGAAAGCCTTTCAGTCAGGGGCGAGACCCCCGGGGCGAGTTTTAAATACAAACAACTTAAACGAGGACGGCCGAGCTGCAGACGCATAATATATCTCCGACATAACCTCTGGGGAGAAGTTGATTTTTCTGCAAGGCCACTTCAGATTTCCTTCAAGGCTTCCTTCAGAATGCGTAGAGGATTACATAATTTGAGCTTAATATTATTTTTAGACACATTCCACCTGTTTAACAGGACTAGCTGGTTTGCTAGAGCTTCACGTTCTGATCTCAAAAGGGCTTTTGAAGCAAATCTAATGACATGTATATTATTACGGCTTAATGAGTAAAATGGCAGCAAATTTGCTTACTTCATAACTTTATAACCAGCGACCTTCTCTCCTCCGGTATAACAGCTACAGTCTCAGATCAACTCAGCCCTCCAGCAGAAACAGCAACTTCATCATTGGGGAAAATATAGACTACATTTGCTTTGCATTGTCCCCACATGATGGCAATTCTACAGAATGATCCAATTAAATTCTTGATTGAAATGGGTTGTTGCTATGTTGTTATACTGCGTTTTAAGATCTTGTTCAATGGGCCCTTTATAAAATTTGAGGCCCTGCCCCTCCAAAGGTCTCTGCACGGCCCTGCCCTAATATATCACAGTCTCACACTGTCACAATGCTAGCATATTAGTTTTGACAGCTCAGTGGAGAAAAGGGCCCAGGTAAACCCGGTAAAGCCTTACAGTGGCGTGGGCAGAACTCTCCAGGTAGACACATCCTCTAGAATGAGTAATGACAGGAGGCAACCTTGTCTTCAATTTTTATTATTTTTTTTTCTTCTTTACCCTTGTGTCCAATTAAGCGTTACGCAAGGTGAATGTGAGAACGCCTAAGGCTGCGAGCAGGGCCTGTCCTAGCCCGTTTGGTGCCCTGGGCCAACATTTATTGATTACATACCATTATAGGCACACTCAAAATGTATTTTTATATTTTATTTGAAAAAAAAGTCAAAGTAATTGGAATAATGCTTTATACACATGGAAAAACCAATGGTTGTTTTGCTGACAGTGATTACTATTGGTTTTAGCTGTGATCAATGTAAAGTGCTAAATCTTAAATATATGCCTGTTATGTGAAAGAAAAAGGTACGCAGTGCTTTACTACTAATTGTCAACATTAGAACAACCTAGGTAAGAATGTCAAGAAAAAGTTTTATGGAAAAAAGCTAGTGAGGGAGAAAGAAGTAGCTATGCTAGTTTGACTTTGATAACCTTAGCATGATGTGGAATTCGGTGTGATTTGGTTCAGTTACAAAAAAAAAAAAAAAAAAATCGACCTACACACCAACTTCAACAGATCTATAGAGCAGATGCTTAGATGGATGCCAAAATAAAATTATGGTCTTTTTGCCCTTCAGTGTTGTGCGCTTGTGCAAAATTTCCGCAACAACATGCAAGAAGTCCATAGTCAAACATTTACAAAATTATATGTATTGCAGTTGCATTTTTATTAAAACCCAAATTTCACTGGAGTCCTTGGATGTTGTTGCTTAAGTTGTAGTTTTTCTATTTTTCATCTCAAAAACCAGGCATTTTAATAAAGCTGCATGCACGCATTTTATACCCTCTACTTTTGACGTGCTATTGTAGGATCGCAAAAGATCTTGATAACTTGGCTCTGCAGTCAGACGGTCAAAGGAGTCAGAAGGATGTTGGTGAACTTTCACGGCTTTGATGCTGGTGTTTCCACGGCTAAAGGCCGCTGCACTTTCTGATGAAAATTTTAAGAGAGTGAAATGTCACGACGTTATCCAAGACTCCGAGATATGATTGAAAACATAGCTTTTCTTATCTAAAGATAAACGGGAGGAAAGGCGGTGAGAGAAAAACAACAGTTTTCTTCTCCCCCATCGTATTCATTAAATGCATACAAATGGTGTGTGGGAGTTTGCTTTGGAGTCTGATCCTGGTAAAGATCCCCTGCATTTGGAAACAATCAATGAGGCCAAAACAAACACCTTCTTGGAAGCGTCACAGCAGTGCATGAGCTCCCTTTATCCGAGTTCTTTCCGAATCTGCACCTCGCCTGTTTCCAGAGCCAGCTCCCCTCCCTGCTTCTCCAGCTTTCGTAAGACGCCGACAAGAGAAAAGCTTTCACATCTCACCTGCCACCATTTAAAGGTCTCCTCAGAGAGGAAGCTGTTCTCCCTGGTCATCAGAGGGTGGATGGAGAGGTTGAAGTGCTCGGCGAACCACGGGTCGCCTTCCAGCTCGGCGACACACTGCCGACAGGAACACGGCCCTTTGGAGAAGAAGCTGTCCGAGAGCCGGAAGTACTTTAAGAAGCAGAGCGATGGGTCCCGGAAAGTGTAGCTGAACAGGAGCGTGGTCAGGGTAATGACGCACAGCAGGAGAGCAAAAGTCCTGAATTTTCTCCGTTTAACTAAAGACATTTTATCACAAAGTCATTTGGTTGAAAACTCGAAGAGTGCAGTGAAGGGAAATGGCATCGTGGCGAGTTCAGATCCACAAATATTTCAATCACATGAGGTAATGTGGAAAACCCCAGCGTCCGTATTCTGCAGAGAGATGAGGATTAAGTTCATAAACGTCCTCAGTCAAAGGCGTCCATCCGTCTTGTCGTTTTGAAGAGATCTTGAACTCCACTAGAGGACGGTGTGTGTTCTGTGTGAAAACCGCTTTTACCAGGCAGGTGTTTACTCTGCAGGGTCGGTGACTGCTGCGGCTTCCACTCTTCTCTTATCAACCTGAAACGCAAACAAAGAGAAAAGAATGTTTTACAGAGAAAGCAACATTTGGACTTTAAAGGAGTAGTTCAAAACTTCCAAAGTAAGGTTCAAGTGAAAGTTCCATGTACAGAAAGTGACCTTACTAGACCAACAATTGAGCAAAATGATTCTTATTCTTATTAAAGGGTTTTCAGTGATGTTAGATGCTTTTTTAAAAAATATGTTGGACAGCAAATGAATAAATACAGAATGGGAGAAGGCGTGCAGCAACGGCTTTTTGGTCAGGAATCAATATGTGGCGCTTGGTCTGCTTCCGTTTCCCAAACTTTTTCCGGGTGACTTAACCCATTTAACAAACACTCATGTACTACCTAACTTGAAACTGGCATCTCAAGAACACAACAACTTAATATATACAATCTGAAATGAAAAAAAATCTGAGTCTCTTAGCTCACTTATATTGTCGTCTTTGTTCATCCTGACGACAAGCTTGGCGCCGTTATGTAAATGTGACGGATCACAATAACACAATGAACCAGTCTACTCGGGGCGATTTGATTTATTTACAGGAAATGTGATTTCTTAGCTTTTCAATGATGTCAAACACATGGAAATTAAAAGAGAAGTGTTGTGCTTTTTATGACATTAAAGGACTACTTGCAATTTAAAAGCAAGGTAAATGGAAAAAACAGACTTGAGTTGCTTTGGCAGAAACCAAAATTTTATTTTAAGTCCCAAGAAAGCCAGACGTGAATAATTATTTTATTTAAGATGCAGTTAGTCAGCATGGGGCGCAGCGCTGCTCACAGCCATATCATACTCAGCGCAGTTGGGCTGAATTAGGTTTGTGTGCCGGTGGCATGATATGTATCGTAATAGTGTTTTAAAAAATAGTTCTGCGGTTCACCCTGAAGAACTGAAAAATATTTCTGCTCTTATGAACTCTTTAATCATATACATGAACAGGCATCATTTTCTGTCCACTGCCATCTTCAGCTTTTTGTTTCATATAAAAACATGTATATTTATATTTAACGCTGAGAAAGCTAAGCAGAGTTTATGAGTTGGATTAATCTGAATATATTTTTTAATTTACTGACCGCACGAGTTTTAACAGATGTTGTTTTAAAACACTGGGAAATATCCCTTTAATATTTTTTGCTAGTACGCTAGAATGCTCAACATCAGTTTCTCAAGCATGACAATCCAACAGAAACAAATGGGACATAATCAGCTTAAGTGTTAGTGGAAAGTACTGCATGCTTTATCAGATGTGTGAAAAATATTTTTGCCCCATAAAGATTTTTATTTCCCCCTCAATGAATAAAATCATCATTTAAAAACTGCCATTTAGATTTTTCTCTGATATTTTTGTCTAATGTTAAAATGTAACTAATGGTATGAAACATTTAAATGTGACAAAAGAAAAAAAAAACATCAGAAATCTCTGAGGGGGCAACACCATTTTCACAGCACTGTATTTGGGTGCCACATAGCGCTTAAAAAGACTATTACGGACCGTCTTTAGTGAAAATGGCTGCAGCCAACCTGGAGCAAAACTGATTTGATTATCTGGCCCCTGCTCACCCAGTGCAGAGAAAATGTTGCTGTCTGGATAATCGGAGATCCAGAGACCATTGATTGACCAGACAAAGAGCAAAACCTAAGGAAATGGTTTTATGTGAGCTATTTCCAGTGGCCATTGGACAAGATCTAACAACAACAACAACAAAAAGAACTCTCCTTATGCATTGCTATGGGCAGGGCCATCAATTCTTATTGAGTTCAGATAATTCCAACAGTGATTCTGCCTTTTGTTGTATAGCACCATCAAGAAACTTTGTTAACGTCACTAAGTTGTAATAAAAATGCAATATACATATATCAAATATATAAGAGAAATCTAACTTTGGAATGTAATGCCTTGAATTGGGCCTCTGTCTCTTTAAAAATCCTAGCTCTTTCTGAGACTCCGCCTTCAGGAAGTCATCATAACATGTCTGCTCTACTAAACCTTTGGCAACGTTTTTACCAGGAGAAGTAGCTCCGACAATGAGCTTAGCTGTGGTGTTTGCTAATTGCTGCTGGCTAGTCTGAAGGAGCCGAGCAGAGTCATCATGGAGACGGGGTGCTGGGAGAAACTTAAAGAATTTTGATCTTTTTCTCAAATTCCAATTGTCCAATCTAGAAAACAATGTCAAAACATGGAAAAATGGCAGAATAAGCTCAGTTTGTCATTGGCATAAAGGATTTAGCAAGATTTTAATGGCTGAAACCTATTTTTAACTGTGTTATGAAACCTGAAAATGTAGTTTTCAGATGAATGTGGCATCACTTAGAAGTAAATATGCAGATTTTCCAATAGTAATTGATTTATAGCCAAGAACAATTGGCTCAGTTTAAAGGTAGAAACAGGGGGAGAGGGTTCATAAAAATGTAGTTATTATGGGTGTGCAAACTTGCTAGTAGCTGCAACAATCTTAGAAACTGCCAAGAAACAGAATATTTAACCAAAGTCAAAGCTCTAAAAAAAAAAAAAAAAGAAAGAAAAAAAAAAGTAGAAAAAGTACATCCTGAATATTCAGAAGTAGCTCAAACTCAATCTCTCAACCACTGGGCATAAATGCTCACTACAGTGTTGTAGGAGTTAGTAGTTTATCACCTGCTGCGAGTTCCTCTTTGAAACATTTTAGGGGGAAAAAAAAAGAATAGGCAGAGCTTCCACAATTTATTTCAGCAGCTAAAATGTCATCCGCTGTAAAAAAAAAAAAAAAAGGTTTAAAGCTCCGCTCCGGTGTCCCGAGGACCACAAAACAAACGATGCGGTCGAAATCCTACTGATGAAAGTGCCTTTTCATAGCGTTCCCAGCAAAAGTTTTTAAACAACCCACTTTTTCAATGCTCTGCTTTCAAGAAGCCAGACTTTGTTGTCATCCGTTGAAGTGGTTTTCATTAATCAATAGTTTGAGTGTTTAGGAGATTCTTTCAAAGTTTTGACTTGTTTGCTTTTTGAGTGAAATAAGACGCAAAACAAAACAAACAAAAAAAGAATAAACGGAAATGAAACAGACCTAAAAACTGCATAGTTACACTAATTTGTAAGGATTAGTGGCAAACAGCAAGTAGGTTAAATGTAATGCTTATGCAGTCATACTACAGCCAATACATACATTTCATACTGAAAGTGTTTAAATGTGATTTCAGTTTTACCACTTCCTGTTGTCTTCTTTGTCATTTTCGTCAGCAGTAACAACTGGTTGTTGATCATGTGACTCGTTATGTAAAAAAGCTTTTCCACTGCAGTTTTTGCAACATACATTTATTTTGATAAGGCCAAAAAAAAAACACCACTTCATTCTAGAGCTGAAATCTTTCATCAAAACGCATGATTTGATTTTTTCATAAATTTGGCGTGTTTCAATTTAACTTCATTTATTTATGTTTAACTGAAATGCAACTAATGTCAACGAGAGATTTTGAAACCTAAAGTGAGAAGAAGTGCAGAGACTGAAGATGGTATTTAAAAGGAAACTGTATTTACAAGATGTCGAACATATCTGTCCTTTAGCTAGTCTGCAAAGAGGAAAAGGAGAGCAAGACTTAAAGTAAGCCTCTTTCATCTTAGAATAAAAATATATTTTTGGGGAGCAGAAAAAGCTTGCATGCTAACATGGAGCTTTGGCACCTTTTGTCAGTCGTGGAGTTATGATAGGAGTCTATATTTTGCAGGCGGTACACACAGAGACAGAGCTTTGCAACTAGGCTAACTGTGGACTATAGTTAGCATTTTCAACAATTATAAAGACAGAGAAAAACATCCCAGCCCCTAAAAATGAACAACTAATAACCAGAAGAAGTCTTAATGTGTTTTAAGCTTAAATCTTGGCTTAAAACACAATTCTTTGACCAGTCAGAGAATTACTAAATTAAAGACGGAAAATTGGCCACAAACTCTGATTTGTACATCAGTATAAACTGGATTTAATCATTTCTCAAACACGGCAGTATTTGACACACACTCGAGACAGAAACACCTCGAGTTCAGTAAAGTTTTATTTTTCAGGCCGTGACTTTTTCAGCACAGGAAACAGCAGCAGGCGTCCTGGGGTTTCATTTCCAACATGAAAAAGCCACCTCCGCCTTTGTACGGGGGACCAACTATCCCGTCTGATGTGCAGCGGCGTTTTGGGACTCCAGCAATAACTCTATATTTAGGTATCAGCGGATCCGCAGTGCAGATTAAACACTATCATCACCTCACAGAGTGAGAAATGGGTTTGAAGAATCGAGCCGCAGGAATCCAACACACTTCAACTCCTGCCTCCCTTTTGCTCCTCAACATTTTTTAAGAGTTTGTAGAGAGGATTTGTCGTGAATTCCATTTCTTTAGAACAGGTCTGCAGTATTTTTTTTTTCTTTTTCTGCTGATTAGAAATTGATCAGTTCGTTCAAATTCCACCCTAAGGGGAGGAAAGCAAATTGGCTGAGGAAGACTGTATGGCTCATGTGTTGATTTCATTTTCGCTTGGGGAGCAGAAAACAAACGGCACAGCCGTTCATCAGCTGCACCGACACAAAGCGATGCTCAAGCAGTCCTAGCCTCTGTGGGTAAATACAGATTCGGACACCCCAAAGGGCGAACGCCGTCTAAGAAATCAACCTCAACAGCTTTACCAAGGGGACGCATCAATAAACAGGCTGCTGTTGCCTCTCGGTTTGAGGTCTTTTGCTGGTTAGATGGCGAGAAAACAACATTTTTCTCAAACAGGAGGCGTCGCACAACGCTCAACGGCCCACCGACTGTCTCATTGTTCCCCCTGACCTTGTCCGAGACACTCGGGCGCAGATCAAAGGTTGCCGAGCTGAGACAGCAAAGCGTCTGTTCACACTTCAGAGAGCAGGGAGGAAAGGGCGAGGAGAAGATGATGATGAAGAAGAAGAAGAGCACACAAGCTTAGATCAGCCTAATCTTTACTTCTGAAGAGTCAACAACTTTTCAGGGGTTGCAGTTGCTGTAA